TTCCCGGTAAGCTTCCAATCATCCAATGCCATGTCTTTGTACTAGAACATACCTACTTTCATGTGGTATAAGCTTCTGGACTCGAATCTGATCCATGCTTCTGGAATGGAGCTCCAAAGTAGGCTTCTTGAGCACAGTTTCTGCCTTAACCAAATTCTGGCAGTTTTCCAGTTTTGAGGTAGCAACTTTGAGACTTTGGAAAACAACCTTAATGACTTCTTCTTGAGCAACCAAGCATACCAAGGTGTAGATAATCACTCCATGTTCAATACAAGCCATTAAACTTGAATTTCCATTGAGCCAATTGAGAGAAACTTGCCTCCAAAATTGGCTACTTGAACACGGAAAATGACACTGACAGAAATTAATGTTCTTCAGGCAGCTTGAGCTTGCTTCTTCGTCAAGTAATTCCAACTTGTAGAGTGGCTTATTTGGGATCATATCATGGGTTGAGCAGAAAAGCAGAAAAAAGAAGTCGACAGAGCTGTTAAGGAGAGAAAGGCAGAGCGGGTACCAGAAGCCAGAAGGGGAGGGTTATCGGGGAAGAAGGGGAACGACTATGCTTTCTTTTCCTATACTTGAGTGTTTATCTTGCAAAAACAAATAGAGGAAAAGCTAAACTTTTAGAATTGTGGAGCCATTTTCTCGAGCCAAAATTTTGGGATCGCGGGAGATCCAAAATTTCAAGATTGGGGAGAGGGAAACAAGTGCGGGACATCTAAATTCCTACACGGAAATTTTTGGACAAAACCAATGGTCCCAATTCTTGAATTATCTATTGAAAAGGGCGATAAAAAAAAATATATTCATTCTAAACTCCTTTTTTAGAATAATGAAGGAGCAAAACTTTATTCATTTGTGATATATTTTTCTTAATAATTTTTTTTTTCACCTAAAATTTGAAAAGGTAAATTTGCATAGTATTCACGGTAATTAACCATGACTAACAATTAATCACGGGAAATGAAAAGTAAAAAAAAAAACACGTAAATTAATTTCCGTGATTAAAACTGTGTAACTAATTACAGGAACATTCCCTATGACTATTAGTGCACTTCTTAGTACGGAAAAATTTCTCGTGAATAAGATCCTGTGACTAGAAACATGTTTTCCTGTAGTGCTATCCCCCTTTGCATTGGAACATGTCATATAGATAAATCCTTGGCGGATTTAGGAGCAAGCATCAATGTCATGCCATATAATCTTTACAAGAAGTTAAACCTAGGTGAATTAAAACCCACTAGGTTGAGTGTTACTTTGGGTGACCGTTCTGTGATTAATCATAGAGGCATTATAGAGGACGTCGTAGTACGGGTGGGCACTTTTTATTATCCAATGAATTTCATTATCTGATGAATTTCATTATCCTTGATATTAGCAAAAATGCGGTATGTCCCTTATCCTAGGACGCCCCTTCCTTGCCACCGCCAAGGCTCTAATCGATGTTAATGAGTACACATTCATCTTGAGAGATGGTGAGGACCAAGTCACTTTTTCGATTGATCCTAAGGTTAACCATGATAATGTTAAAGGGATAGATTTGAATGGTGTGTTTGTTAGTGGAGGTGAGCATTCCATGGCAAACCCCACCAGTGCTCCTTTTGCTTTTGGCAATGTGAAGCAAGGTCCTAAGGTGGGTACTAAGCCCGAAGGGAAGAAAAAGAATGATTGGCGTGAGAAAATGAACCGTGTTTTGACTCGAAGGAAGGAGAAGGGCAAGGCAAAGGCAAGTGGCCAAGAGAGCCACCATTCCGAGTTGGAGACTGGAGGTGATGAGCCTCGTCCCGAAGGTGCATCGGGTCCACTCTAGGAGGCTTCATGCTCGCTAGCATGATGGTCTGAACAGTCAAGCTAAGGACATAAAAACAAGCGCTTGTTGAAAGGCAACCCAACGTCGGTTCGTATTTATTTTCCTTATTTTCCTCTTTTTGTTTGAGTGTTTGAGTCAAATGGGTGAGTTTTGAATGATCACCGTGCCACGATTTATGTGTTTGAACTTTGAATGCTTGAATGATTCGTGATTGAGTTAGAGGCACGATTGAATCGATTGAGTCTTGAGAGTTGTGGATTTGCCTGTTTTATGATTATCACGATTTTAGTGATATTATCATGATCGTCATACCATGATAATGTGAAGCAGAGCGTGATGTTGAATAGCATTTTTTACGATTTGTAGACATCACGAAGGGAAATTATCACGGGTAAGTGCATGTGATGTCAGCCCAAAACTCAGAGTTTTTTGTCGAGATCATGCTCGCAGAGTTATTATCACGGTCAACCGGTCGTGATAGACTCCCGCGCGTGATCCTTGATCTCGGGCTATATAAAGCGATCGTGAACCCTTTTCTTCACAATACATTTTTGCTAGAATCCTCTGAATCTATCGCCGAAAAACATCGCCTCCGATGGTTTTTCAGCAATTTGATCCACTTCCAGGCCGTCCAATCCCAATCCCAAGACCAAACACATACTCACACTCCCTAAGCCAAGGCGCACCTTCGCCGAGCTTTTGGTGGAGATTTTCAGTCAATTTTTGACTCCTTCTCATTCTCCTCACCTTCCTCACTAATCCTACTTGAGTCTCCATGTGTTTTTCATCTTTTACTTGTTCAATTTTGAAGAATTCGAATTAGGGTTTTTAGGTGAGGAGAATTGAAGTTTTTGCATGAATGATTGAAATTGAACGTGGGAGTTGATGAAATATGATAAATGGCATGTTGCTAGAATATTAGATTGGATTCTTTTGACTTTGTTGGCTTGATTTGGCATGTTTTGGTAATTGAATTGAGTAATGCCCACCGAGTGTTTGCTTAATTGTCTATCCTTGATACAATTTTGCGCATGTTGAACGGTGGTCATCAAGGCATGATCTAGGATTGCAATTGCAACATTGATGATCTACTAAACACCTAGTTTCATGCCTCATTGTACCTTGTGGGTGTTTGAACCTAATTGCTGATAAACCAAGCTTGTGAATGGCCTATGAAGGCATCTTGGCAATGTGGAATCTTAAGTGTGGGGAATTAGCTTTCTCCCCAATGTGCTTTGTCTAATGAATATTTCCATGTATGGTGTGTGTCTTTTGATGCTTTTGCATGATAGTTGACCCTAACCACCCATACATTCACTATCTGGTGAATCACCCGAAGTACGAAGACAGGTTCAAGACTTGGCGTTACATCGATATCTGACTCCACTAGAGCTTGGACTTGGACATGTTTAACATGTTCAGGTGTCGATCCATGATCTCTGGAGCGATAGCCCATCCTCTGTGGCGCAGCCTCCTCACCATCAACGAGCTCATATACCACGAACTCTGTGTGGAGTTCTATGCCACATTCATCCATGAGGTGTCGAAGTGGTGACGCAACCGACCCTTCGTGGAGTTCATGCTTGGAGGAGTGCACCACACCGTAGGATACAACACATTGGCACATGCTATAGGCCTCGACATCAGCATCATGACGATGGCTGAGAGCGAGTACACCCTGGAGGTTAACCCGTGGCAGGTGTACAAGGTGATCTACATCCCGGAGGATAGAGATCATCCATGAATTGTTTGTCCTTGGTCCACAACTTGGCATGATCATGGCTTGAGCTTGTACTCGCATCGAGAGTAATAGGGGATATCTTAGAAAAATGGTTGACCTTGTAAGCTGATAAATGATCTAGGAAATCCGCTGCCGAAGATGGTGGATGCACGTTGCCGTGAAGGTTTGAGATTTGCATTGGCTTAAGTCAGGTTTGCTTAGGGACAAGCAAATAGTTAAGTGTGGGGGGATTTGATAACTCGATATTTGCACATATTTTCCCACTATTCTTAGACTATTTGAGGGTCGATCCTCACATTTTAAGCCGATTTCACGCTAGGTTATGCTTCTATGTCGCATTTGAGGACCTAGATCGAAAAGGAAAGCGTGGGAGAGAGTTTCAGGTCAAAAGCGGCGAGTGGATGATAAGTGGAGCTCGAGGATCAAAATCCACGATCAGATCAACTCACCCCCGACGGGGGATATGCATCATAGGTCGGGGAAGTCGATTAGAACAACCCCCTATGGATAGCCTCTAATCCCCGATTGGGGATTCTAATTTGAGACTGGGAAAATTGTTTTCGAGACTAAGTGGCGATGTTGCGTTTTGGTTAAATCCCCAGTCTGGCCTCTAATTACCCGACCGGGGAATTAGACCGGGGATGCCCAACTCAGACTGTTACAAGCAGAACATGGGAAATTGGATGGGCATTCGATTTCGGAGTTGAAAAACATAGTTTTAGAGAGAGAAAGTGACGAAGAGCGAACGTTGAGTGCCCTAGATCAAGCCTCCTCATTATTGGAGCTCGATTCAAGCCTCGAGGGATCACGTTGAGAACCCGAAGCAAATTTTTTCGTCTACACGATGATTTCCTTATCCAACATTACTTTCCACTCTCTCTCTCTATGGAATAATTCCCTTTCTACTTGGGTATGTAAGAACCCTAAATTGTATGTTAGGAAGAGTTGTATGAACCCTTTGTCATGACTTATTGATTATCTTTAATCCAATTGAGGCATTGATTCAGAATTATTTGAATCCTAATCAAAATTTTGTGATTCCTGCTTTGACCTAAAATGATAGTCTTTGCATAGGTTGATAAAACTTCCTGAATTGAAAGTAATGAATCTGACTACTTTAGTTAAAGCAGTCGATTCACTGCTCTACCTGACTCCCTGACACCAATATTAAACCCGATACTTATTAATTGGGTTGTTAGAAATGGTGATGACCTACCCAACCGACCCATGCACACCACACCATAGCTACTATGAGTCTATGACACCACATTCGGTCCCTAGCCGGTTAAAGGCTGACCCCAGCTTACGGAACGGACCGGCACCATCTGCCAATCCCCGTACCCGACGGTCAAATAGACGACATCGGATCCCTTCGATCTCGCAAGAATCCTACGGCTACCAATAAACCCTAACTCCGTTGGCCCCGGCTACCATCTGCCACTCTTTAAAAGCCGCGCGTTTCTCTCATCCGTGTCTGTCCCCTCCGTCGCCACACAAATTCAGCTGCTCGCTCATCGTCTCGGGAATTCGTGTCAACAACCGCCCTCTCGTCAACGCCGGCGAGAGAAGGATAACTTCTTCATCTGCGGTAAGTCTCCGATCTCCCTTTACCCTTCGTTCCCATGTTCTTACGATCTACCCCACACCTTTGTTCTCTATGCATGAGCAATTATGGCATCTATATGTTCTCTTGCTTGCGTGCTTAGCGAAGCTTGTTTGTGATTCAGATCGTCCCTTAATCGGAGTCTTTGCGCTATCACTTCCTATCACTGTCTCGTTCTTGTAGTCCGTTGTTTGGTTTAGTTATGTCCATCTGCCTGCGTGAATATATTCCCTGTATTAAACCAAGGCTTGCTGATAATCACAATTCGACCTATGTATGGATCATAAACTTGTCAATTGACTTGTTTACGTCTTCAGATATGGTGGTGTTTGTGTTTTCATATTGACGTGGTGCTTTGTTGCGTTGGATTCTATCGTTTTATTCGTGAGAATCATAGTGCTCGTAATTTTGTGCTGATGTTAAGTTGCATTCTTCCTGCAGTTCTTCTCAAGTTCAGAATGGGTAAAGAAAAGGTTCACATCAACATTGTGGTCATTGGCCATGTCGACTCTGGGAAGTCAACCACCACCGGCCACTTGATCTACAAGCTTGGAGGTATTGACAAGCGTGTGATCGAGAGGTTCGAGAAGGAAGCTGCTGAGATGAACAAGAGATCATTCAAGTATGCCTGGGTGCTTGACAAGCTGAAGGCCGAGCGTGAGCGTGGTATCACCATTGATATTGCCCTGTGGAAGTTCGAGACAACCAAGTACTACTGCACAGTCATTGATGCCCCTGGACATCGTGATTTCATCAAGAACATGATTACTGGTACCTCCCAGGCTGATTGTGCTGTCCTCATCATTGACTCTACCACTGGTGGTTTTGAGGCTGGTATTTCCAAGGATGGTCAGACCCGTGAGCATGCTCTCCTTGCTTTCACCCTTGGTGTCAAGCAGATGATCTGCTGCTGTAACAAGGTCACTGTCTTCTCTTCTGTTTGTTGATATGTATTGATAGTGTTTCCATTTAGTTTGATGGTATGCTTGCTTGATTGAACGAGGACTGATTTTTGTCCTTGTGTACAACAGATGGATGCCACCACCCCCAAGTACTCCAAGGCTAGGTATGATGAAATTGTGAAGGAAGTTTCATCCTACTTGAAGAAGGTTGGTTACAACCCAGACAAGGTCCCGTTCGTTCCCATCTCTGGGTTTGAGGGCGACAACATGATTGAGAGGTCTACGAACCTCGACTGGTACAAGGGCCCAACCCTTCTTGACGCTCTTGACAACATCAACGAGCCCAAGAGGCCATCCGACAAGCCACTCCGTCTCCCACTCCAGGACGTGTACAAGATTGGTGGTATTGGAACTGTGCCAGTGGGTCGTGTGGAAACAGGTGTCATCAAGCCTGGTATGGTTGTTACCTTTGGTCCCACTGGACTGACAACTGAGGTGAAGTCGGTTGAGATGCACCATGAAGCTCTCCAGGAGGCTCTCCCTGGTGACAATGTTGGGTTCAACGTGAAGAATGTTGCTGTCAAGGATCTCAAGCGTGGGTTTGTTGCCTCGAACTCCAAGGATGACCCTGCAAAGGAGGCTGCTAACTTCACCTCCCAGGTCATCATCATGAACCACCCTGGCCAGATTGGGAATGGTTATGCCCCAGTGCTTGACTGCCACACTTCCCATATTGCTGTGAAGTTCTCTGAGATCACAACCAAGATTGACAGGCGATCTGGCAAGGAGATTGAGAAGGAGCCTAAGTTCTTGAAGAATGGTGATGCTGGGTTCGTGAAGATGATTCCGACCAAGCCCATGGTGGTGGAGACCTTCTCCGAGTACCCACCTCTCGGTAGATTTGCCGTGAGGGACATGAGGCAGACTGTTGCCGTGGGTGTGATCAAGGCAGTGGAGAAGAAGGATCCTACTGGTGCGAAGGTCACCAAGGCTGCCGCCAAGAAGAAGTGAGGCAGGGTTTTATCTACTTTTGTCAAAGTGGACATTGTCGTTGGGTGTTTCTGCTGGGTGCCCTTTGTTAGAATTTATTCTGGGAACATGGTGTGGCTGTAGTAGGATGTAGTGGCTGTTTGTTTAGTAATGTTTTTCAATTTCCCTGTCAGAGGTGCTCTCTCGATCTGCCCCTGAGAGCGAGTGGCTCTAACAGTTTTGCCCTTTTTTTGCAACGAATAGTTCATATCCGGGCTAGAAATTTTCGTGTTTTGAAAATCTCCCGTGCGTATCAGTACGACCTTTAAGTTACTTTGGTTGCATTGTCATACTCATACATCGTAACTGCCTAACTGGCAATGCTTTCTTTAACTAAGGAAATCGACCGAACTGACCCAGTGACCCTTCCAATCTGCATTGTACTCTGAAAAAGCACAGCAGTGATTTGCCACCATCTAGTATGAGCTTTGCTTGTCTGCTGACGATATGATTGCAATAGCCACAGTTAGAAGGATTCAGAGTTCAAGAGCTAGGTTGTGTATGATCGAGTAGTAGATAGTACTGATTGACTTCCCCCCTGGAAAACTGGATGTACCATTCGAACGAATGTCGAATGGCTAACAGGGAGATACTTAGGATCCAATATGATGCAAAGCTGAAAGATTTTGCTCTCCTTGTATTTCAAGTTTCAACCCTGCTCTGAGATTTTGGCCAAAAAACTCCTATCAGTTCTGTCATTTCTGGTAGTGCAAGAAGTTACACTGGACCACCCTGTCCAATGGGTGGCGACTGGTGAGTAATAAGGCCTCTACCACACTCTTCCGGGAAAATTACAACTCTTTGTCAATGTCACTGTCATTCTCTTTTTCCGCTGCAGCCTTCTCAGCCTTCTCTGCTTCTTCCAAAACAAACGCTTTGAGCGAATCTACATCCCTTTTCCCTGCATTTTATTCAAAGTACAAAGTCAACACAGGAAACAGTCCTACACAATGACTGTCTATATCCTTACGCTCGGCTGTTCAAGTATTTGTAATGTTTTGATTGGATTATAAACTTGTAAACATATGTCCTAGCTGGAGTGCGACAGCACAGACACAATACCGAGCAAAATCTTCACGAGTGGAGGGCAAAAACAATTTGCAGCAATAGGTTAATGCTCCAAGACATGTCTTTCCCTTTTTACACAGCACAAATCAGAGATTTCCCATTGTTTTGAAATGGATGCCAACACTTATCCAAACCAGCCCCCTCCCTTATGAATCATTGCAGAAAGCTCTACAAGGACAATTCATATAAGTTTACTGCTTAACTTCAAACAGAGACCGGTTTTCCCCACATACTTCATTTACCTATGTTGAAGTAGGCTCGAACACAGCATGAGACAGTCCTATGGAGATTCTGCACTACCAATAGAAAATCCATTCCCTTGCCCTATAATAGCCTAGGATATCCTATAATATCTTCTTACTAAAGCTATACTGATCAATTTTGACTATTGTTACCACCCTATGATATTTCTGCATAGTGCATACAGCCATTTACCCAGCCAATGTCGTATATCTACACTTTACATGTTCATCCATCGCATTCATATAAGACGTCTACCAATAAGCTCCCCTAGAAAAAAACAGAGCTCTACCAATGAGCACTTAAAACAAAGCTGCTCTATATGTTGAACATAATGGATGTACGAAATCTAGAATGAACAATATATATCACATATTTCTTTAATCTGCCTGATGAATAGCTGAATCATGCCACACAAATATTGGAACAGCTGCTCTATGACATGCTCCAAATGAAAAAGGAAAGCAGAAATTTTGCACAGGCCAACAAAATGTTAGTAGGGAACTCCAACGAAAGTTACAAATTATAACCCTCCAATGCAGAAAATAATGATCTGCCACACAATTTTAATCAAATTGTTTCAGATTTTAGTTATACCTTGGTATTTAGCAACTTCTTCTCCTTCATAGAAGACCTTAAATGTTGGGTATGAGTGGATGTCCACTTTCGAGCACACTGATTTACTTGCTCCACAATCAACTTCGCCAACCTCTATCTCATCTTGGCCTTCCATTGCCTTCCCTAAGTCTTCCCATAGTGTGCCCAGATTCTTGCTGAACCCACAACAAGATTTATTTATGTAAACACATCAAGGACTTGACCTAGACAAGTGAATGCTATTACTCATCTACTTACCAATGTTTGCACCAAGGAACACAAAACTTGACAAACCACGCAGTGTCTTTCTCCTTCACCTGAGAGACACAAAAATAAAATAAAAAATGAATGAACAATCACTAACCTGTACGGTCATCGTTGAAGCCCAAAGTTACTTCTTTGCTATGCAGCAACAAAAACTACTGTCCCATAATAAACTAAACGAACGTAGTGTTTCATTTCTCAATATCAAAACTAGTAGATGCATGTTAGATAAAAATAAACTAGTAGATGCATTTCAGACTTCTGATATCAAAGAGAACTGCACTGAACTTCGCTTATCTGAATTTTAACTAAAATCACAAATAAGCTGAGATTGTTACAAGTAGTAATCTGGCTTTTGATCCTAGCTTCAAGTCTTTATCGTACTAAAGCAAAATGATTCCGGACGATAAGGAAACTAGAGATAACTTGTTAAAACGTATTCCAAGCCAAAACATGCAGTACTAACGCCAAACACAGACCAGGCTTTTTACTTCCTCATTTAAAAATCCTATCCAGAAACAGTTATATGTCAGCAATCAAAACCCTAGTTGCAGCAATAAACGGTCAAGCTTATGATTAAGTGAAACTCATCTCGCAGAAAGACGCAAAAGTTCTCGCCTTCAGGGATAAACAGATGCCAAAAATATCTAGTTCAGTCAATCTGATGAAAGAAGATGAACCCTGAACCCTAGTTCGTAGAAGGATGCAAATCGTAAAATGAAATTGTCTTTCAATTAGGGGAAGACGGTGGATGTACCTTGTCGGAGAAGGTCTCAGGGGTTAGGGTAATAACTTCGGGTTGAGTCGGCGAAACGAGAAGTAGAAGCAGAAACGCAGATAGAGCAAGAGAACGATTTAGGTTTCCCATAACTTGCTGACGCTTTCCGAGGAATGGCGGCGGCGATCGTTGCTGCGGCACACGACTTTCAGGCGAGATCACCAGTCGAAGATAGGCTGTGCCCGTAAATGTATGATAGATTATCGGCCCAAGTTTAGATGCAAAGCGGGTTTCGGGTAAAATAACTGTTGTACAATTTAAGTTTGAGAATTGAGACAAATATACTTTAGTTTGAATAGAGCGTCGGGTACTATTAAAGTCGACAAAATGTGCATCCGTCTAGTTTTTCATCCAACTCAAAATTTCAATTACTTTTTGGTACCCAAAACTTTTAAAAACATCCAAAACTATACTTCAACAAGTTTTTATCTAATATCGAAATTAAAAAACCTTCTAAACATAATATTTTTAAAGTGACTAATCAAAATTGTCAATAAAATAGATAAATTAGTAAAAATAATAAACAAATATCAAGAAGAAGAATAAATGTATAGAATATAATAATAAATATTTAAAATCAATATTAGAAGATCTATTTAAATCGCTAATCCAATTAGAAGTACTATTAAAAATAGTTAAAATAGAACCTAATCGATCATTAATACATCAAGACCAAAGAAGGATAAATGAAACACAGTCAGAAAGAATTAAACATGTTCCAGTAATTGAAGAAAATTTATAACGAAAAGAGAACGGAAGTAACCAAGTAATAAATAAATAAAATCTACAACATTCCGTAACAAATCTAGAAAAGAAAATACGACTATAGGAAGAGAATTAGAATTAGTAAATTTAATTAATATGGAACATCTAAAATAAAATATTAGAAAATTACAAGGATATTTAACATAGAAAATTATACAACATCAACATGATGTACGAGAATTAAATATAACATCCTCAAATTATTTATATCGATATAGAATTCATAGGATATATTTGCTTCAGCAAATTATTCAATTTTATTATAACATATAATGGTAATTGAAAATACTTATAATGATAATTGATTCTACATTTCCTATTCAAAAATTGGTTTGGTAACAAAGTCTTCAAAAGAGGATTCCAAGTAAACATAATTCATAGGATATATTTGCTTTAGATAATAATTCAATTATTAGAAAACATAATGATAATTGAAACTACTTATAATGATAGTTGATTCTAAATTTTCTATTCAAAAATTAATTTGGTATCAAGTCTTCAAAAGAGGATACCAACTAAATAATAAAAATTGATGTTTTTCATAAGTCAAAAATGATTTTTTACCATAAGAAAAGTAGAAGGACCAATTAAGAAATTTATAAAATATAATATTCCAAGAATATTATGTTAACTTTAACGGAATGCACCTAACATTAAACTTAAGTGGTACTGGGTGCACAAATAATAGAGTTCAGTGGTACCCGACGCCCTATTCAAATTTAAATGATATGTCTGCCCCAACTCTCAAACTTAAGTGGTACTCAAGGTATTTTACCAGCAGGTTTCCAGTATAAGCTCGACCCGACTTGACGTGAAGTCTGTCACGTGGGTCGCACGCACCTGATGTATTTTTGGGCTATATTACAATTTAACCTACCTGTAGGGGTGTTCAAATGGTTACCGTGGTAATAACCAGCTAGTTAAGCCTAAATTTTATTAACTATGAAATAAAATGTTTTAACCAAACCATCCAAATTAACACGAAAACCAAAGTTTAATTGGTTTGGTTAATCGGATAATCGAATTAACCAAATAACATAACATTACATGAAAACAATTATCTTGTTAATGAATAAAACATAACCATATGTTATTACTATCATAAACTATCATTATGTATAAGTAAAATAATAATAAGACTAACCATCTATAATTATCATTATCATTCGAGTTAATACATCATTCATCATCTCTCCACCTAATATAGTTAGCTTACAACAAACCATTAACATTAATATTAACTACATATCAATACCACTCATCAAGAAGTTAAAGCTTTCATGCAAAACACTTAAACTATACATAGTTTGAAGTGGTTGTCATGGTATTGTACGTAATCCTAAAGTCGAGTAGTTGTCCAAAATGTTTTGGTTTAGTAAATAGGCAGACCCATTTAATTTTTGACCCATAATGCTTTGGTTTGTTGTGCACATGGAAATAAAATAGGGAATCACGAAAGTTTGGTTTGGTTGGTTGCATGAAAGTATAAATAATTTTGTATATTAGGTGTATCATTAATTGGTTAATTGGTTTCATTGGTTAGCAGTGTTGAAACTAAACCAAACCACTTAAACCAAATAAGCTAAATTGTTTGACCAAACCAAACCAATTATCCAAATT